TTTTCAATTTCAACTGAGAAGGGTACCTACAAGTATCAGTATCATCTTATGAAATTTGTATGATCTTATTTTTATATTAATCTGTTATGACATTTTTCCATAAATGAAATATCAAAATTAATAATAAAATGAATGCAAATACAAATAACAGTAAAATCTAATAAATGTACATAAAATTATATTTTATGTACACTTCTGATAAAATGTCATAAGAAATGTACCTATAAATTAATTAGATACCTTTCTTATGAAATATGAAATTTAATGTCACTCTTAAGTCTTATTTTAATTTCTTTATAATATATTTTCGTAAGCGTAAAGGTGAAAGCTAAGTACAAAAAACAAAACAAAAAAAAATTAGAGCGCTGAAAGTTTTCCTTAAAAATAACGAGGTAGATAATTTAACTAAAATGTAAATAATTTCACTTTTCTCCTTCCGTAGAATAAATTATCCTCACAGAATCAGTCAATATGTCATTCATCACCTGTCAAGTGACGCGAAAGTTTGACCTGCTTTGTTTTATTTTCAAATTACATCTTTTCGGCGCAGAAGCTAAGTTAAGCTTGGTTCAAAATATTTTAAATAAACATAATTTCTGATTTTCTTAAAATAAGTTTAGAAAAAATGATAATTGATATTTAAAAGAATTTCAAAATGAGATTTTCAGTTTTTTTATAAAATGGAAAAAAAAATGGTCAATTTTGCTGACTCAAAAAAAAAAAGATTTTTAACGAAAATTTCGGACGTGCTAGGAACGATTAAAAAATGTATAAAAAATACCCGCAAAATACTTTGATCTTTCCTCTTAATAATAATACAAACATTTAGACGATAATTTTGTTTTCGTCAAGTTTGGCGTCTTTCTTCATGCTATGTTGTTTTATTTATTTATTTATTTTTTTTTTTTTAGCGATCTCGTAGAGGTTTTATTTATATATATATATATATATATATATATATATATATATATATATATATATATATATATATATATATATGTGTGATTTCTAAATCATTAATGTATTTTTTAATCGGATATTTTTAGAGCTTTGCATACTGCCATATTCCTTGGGGCTGAGTTGTAAATCACCCTCGTATCTTCTATGTCCGGAGGACATCTTTTCATTCATTCTTAAATGCCCAGGCTGATAGACTAATATATAGAATGTTCAATAAAATGGGGCGTTACTTTCAAATGAGAAATATCCACTATAACGTTTTAATATATATATATGCTGGGTGCGATGGGTAAATTTTAATTTCATATTTGTAATTTCGCGCATGCGCGTTGTTTCTAATTTTATCGACTGCAACATATAGTATCAGTGGCCAAAAATTTGGAAACTGCATGCTGGACTGCTTGACATTCGTGCCGGAAGCTCCAATACAAATATTTTAGAATGTTTGTGTGTCAATCTGAAGACATTGCCGATGATTCGGAAAGAGCCAGCCAACATCATGGTGTTTGTAGTGGTCACTATTGATGGTGATATTATGCCTCCATTTATCTACTTACCGGGCCTCACAATCAACACGGTGGCCTACATCAACGGTGAAGAGGGTGGCTGCTAGATGAGCCAATGTCTGACAAAAAGATTCTGTTCCATACTACACAAGCAAGAGAACCCAGTCATGGGTGTAAGACAATTTCTGCAACCACATCACCCTTTACATCTGGACACCTAACTGCCCAGGCTGCAACCCCCCTTGATTATTATGTGTTGGGTGCAGTTGAGCGAGAGACCAACAAAACTCTTTGTAACACCGAAGATGAACTAAAGACAAGGATTATGGCAGCCTTCACCATCTTAAACAAGGAGTCCGTCCAGAAGTCGTCTGGAGTCCGTCGTTCCAGCCAATAGCGATTTTATTGAATAAATTTACTCTTTAGTATTTGAAAATATTTTTATGTAATTTTGGTAAATAGCTCTGTTAAAATCAGATGTCAGTGTTCTTTTCATTTTTGTGTAATTTAGACGACCATTTATCCATCTCATTCATTCATATATATATATATATATATATATATATATATATATATATATATATATATATATATATATATAACCATGGAATATTTAGTGTTTGAGCCTTTTAACCTACAAATTATATTCTTGAATTGGATCGTAATTACGATTCCAATGTCCTGGACATTGAGCTCTACCTATTATTCTATCCCTCATTGAGAATTTATATATATATTTATATATATATATATATAAATATATATACACACACACACACCACTAAAATTATCTATCCCTCTATCTAATATATATATATAATTTAAATAAATGATTTTATCCTCCTTAGGTTTACCCATATGGATTACCGAGTTGTTCATAAACTATATATATATATATATATATATATATGTGTGTGTGTGCGCTGCAAGAGGTAGTTAACATATTATAATATAAAGAAAAATTTCGATAGAAAAATCCTTATATTTTCAGAAGGATTTTCTGACATCTTGAAAAAAAATGTTCTTCAATAGAACTATAATTTAACTATAATTTGACGTCCATAATGCAGTCTCGAGGGTGAGTGCATGTCTACCATAGCGGCATTCAATGAGTCCTTTCGATGACGTCACGGACGTAGTAGACAAGTGGGGGAACTTGGAAGCGACATGATAAAGGAAAAGGTTTAACCGTTTACTCTTCGGTCGCATGAACCATATAGAAAGCATTAAACCAGCTGGAACAAGTACTCACGCACTTCACCGCGTTCCTGGGTTCGACCACCGCTGTGAATTGTCACACCTTTTGAAATATCGTGGAGTGGTTCCCCTTGATTCCTGCATGGTTTCGAATTCAGCATGGTTTCGAATTCAGCATAATTCTTCTAGACTGACAGCCACTATTTTGCTACATAGCCCAGACTGTCCTGCAACTTACCCTTGTGTTCTCCTCCTCGCTATGGGTTATCTGCGCGAAAGTCTATGCGGCAAAATCCTTCACAATTTGAACCCGGTTCATCGATTCCATTTACCGCGATGATAACACTTACGCCTAAGGCTGATTTTCCTCAGCGAGACAGTTTTCTTTGCTCAGCTTTATGGCCCGGTGTTAGCTTTGTAAATATCAAGAGAAATATACACATTTGGACGCACGTATCTGGTTCGAATCGGTCACGCACACAACCTGATTCATATAGAGTTCAACAAGGTTTCGTGCCGGAATGATAGGGATGAAACAGCTGAACGTTGTAAAAGAGTTTCAACAGCCATTATTCGTGACTTCGCTTCTTACCGAGTTCCTCACATACGCTTTTAGCCTGTCTCAAGGTAACATATCTTAGTAAATATTTGCGTAATTAGATAATTACTTAATTTAAGCTTACGTGGCAAAGGTTCAGTTATTAAAGAAACCATTTGAATTGATCTATGAGATCATAACCAAAGAATGTTCTGCACACGCACACGTGTGTTATAACCACATGTATTTTTGTATACGTATGCCAACAAATTGTTGAAAAGAAATTGAGAGAGGTGGTGATAAAGGAGAAGTGAAGAAGAAATATGATTAGAGAAAGTAGACCGAATGGAGAAGAAAAGATTAGTGGGGGAAGGGTTGAGGAGAGAGAGGGGAAGATTGAAGGAAGTAGTGGAGGGTAGATTGAGACGACATAGGGAGATGAAGACGTGGAGATTGAAAAGAATTAGATTTGAGAGACGGACAATAATGAAACAACATTTTATTAAGTCATTTTCATGCAAATATAAAGGCGTACGAAAGTCACGATAAACAATACAGGCAAATATCACAGACGGGTTGAGCGTTGAAATGGTTTGGGGCTCAACTCCCCTCTCAAAATCAGATCAAACATCAGATATTTTGGGAAGAGTTTGTTGACAGGGGCGAGAAATTTTCAGCACCCTAATAAAAAAAAATACAATTCGCCTTATTTCCTAAACTGTCTATGGTGTTCCACTCTTGTGGTTTTTGTTTTAGGCTAATCTAAATATTCGTCAATATTGGTATTTGCTTGGAAAAGTCTGGCACAAGGCTATATATGGAGGACTAAGATGATCATACTCTGTTAATAATGACCTACTAAGCTAAAATGGGCAACTCTTTCTCCTGTCTTTAAACTGAATATATTTTCTAATAAATCGATTGTAAATGAACAAACAATTTAGAATTAAAATTTCGCCGGTTTGCCGTCAACAAAGCGATAACCACGGAACGCGTATTTAGGTAAATTTAACGGCTATTATGGGACATAGTATTTACATAGTTAAGGAATGCCTTTTCAGAATAGAAATATTATGAAAAGATGGAGGTTTGACATAGAATGGAAGAAGAGAGGATAGTAAGATTTAGTAAGCTTGACCCACAGTTTCTTTCGTGAATTCAATTTTGACTGTTTACTGTCGCCCTGCGAGATACTTAAAACCAAAAATGGCGTGCTGAGGGAGTTTCATATTTGGGGTCAATCGTCGCCGTTTGAGCTTTGGTTAAAAGCCAGAAATTCAAATATTGATTTCTAACTTGATTTGTCATTATGCAATTCTTTTGATGCCATTTCTTTAGCTGGCCTTGAGTCTTACTTAAGTTTTTGCGAACTCGGAGCAACATATATGGACCCCAACAAAATCAGATATACACAGGTGTAAACAAATTCTACAAACAAAACCGCATTTTTTGTTCAATATGGAAGAAACTAAATTTATAGCATATCTGAAGAAGAGAAAATGATATCAAGATGTTGAAGTCCCATACTTTAAACAGATTTGATTCGTTTTTTACGGCTTATCAACCTTTTGCCAGTTATTTAAAGCCAGAAAATATTTTGCGGTTGTAAATGATAATGATTTACTGATAGAAGTCCTATTAATTAACCCATAGCTAGGGGGCAAGAAGAGATGGATTCATACTTTTCCCAACGGAATTTACGCGTAAGCGAATATAACGAACTCTACTGGAATTCGAACTCTATTCTCCGGCTTCCAATTCTAAGCCGTCATCCATTACACCACCCGCACGTCCAAGCTTATAGCACCTGGAATTCCCAAGCGGTCACCCATTTAAGTACTGACGTGGCTCGATGTTGCTTAACTCTGGTGATCGTGCGGTAACCTGTGTTTGATATGGCCGTAAGCCTCGATTAATACTGGAAAGAGCGATAACAATTAGTGGACTTTAGAAATCTATTTTCTTGAAAAATTGTTTGAAGAGAATGATTTTATAAATGTCAACCACTGGCCGTTAGTTAAGCATTTGCTAATGGGGGTTACTGGGGCGTGGTTATCGCTACTCAGCCCCGGAGACTCCAACCCTACAGCAGCACCTTCCTTATTGCATTAAGAGAGATTTGGTCTGTGTAATACCGTTGCCAGCGTGTCGTGGGGATCTGGGCAAAACAACAATTTTGTCCTTAGTTTATATGCATACGGATGCGTATGGTGCTTCCCACGTTAAAACGACCTTGTGTCACATCCAGCCTTCGTTGGATGACCAGATAAATACACCGGGCTGTTCAATCAATTAATGATTATTATTTCCACATAATGATATAGCTAATAACATTACCAAATGAATTAGGTGCATTGACAAGGAAGGCGATTATGTTGAAAAATAAATATTTGCTTCTTAAAATAGATGCTTTCCTTTTATTATTCATTATTCGATTGCGGGATTACTGACTTAACTACGTTTGCGCGTGCGCAGGCATAGAATGAGAACTTTACGCATGCGCAGATCAACGCCATAATGACGCTTCATTTTACAGCATAATGCTATACGCACACACCAAAACTACGTGTCTATGTTGAGAGAAAGGAAATGAGAATGGAAACAGACTTTATAATTACAATCTCGCGCACACGCGAAAAATAACCGAACACATCTGTAGAGAAAGATTCGCTCAGACGCTGGCACGGTTATATATATATATATATATATATATATGCTTTTCAGTGTCCACTGCCCGAAGGTATTTTCTATTGAATGCTAGTAACATTATCCTCAAGTGTGTCGTTCGGCCGAGACTGGAACGTGAATACCTCCTTGGTCCATTTTTGCAAAGGTCTTGATCTTTGCTTTCCCAGGAACATTTAGGATCGATATTTCAGACTTGACCAATCGACTCGAAGACTAGAAACATTTTCTCCTCGCTGGCCTGGATACTATGACGTCACTGGGCGACAACGTCTCTACTTCTCTAGATTCCAGTGAAAGACTACAAGAACCGTCACTAAAATTCTAAATTCCTTCTAACTTATTCAACATGACACGTCCCTGGAGTAGATAGATTTTTTTTTTTTTTTCAATGTATAAAATGGAAGTAAAATTAGTCTGTTATATCTTCGATATTTCGGGCATACATGAAAGTTTTTCCGCCAATTAACACTTCCGCTGCGATGGACGTACTTACACGGCTAAAAGAAACTTAACATTGCCTGCTGTCGACGTATATATACGTTTTCAAGGTGTATTAAAATGTCGGTTGAATGATTGTCGGTGAAAGAAACTGCACAAATTACAAAACGGAGATGCCTAAATCAAACAAGAACAACTAAGAGGGTTAGCTGAAAAGTTCGCAAGCTGACTATGTAAGAGTGATGCTATATCTTTGAAATCTAGTATGCATTCATTTCAGCCCACTTTCCAGGCAAAAATATCTGGAAAGTATTTTAACAGAGTACGGAAAGTGCGATACCGAAATTCGAAGGTGCATTGGGATAGCGAAAGATGCCTTCAAAAAGCTAAGCAAAGTATTAAGTAACAGAAAAAAATTCGTTAGAAGCAAAATAAGTACTCCTATTATATCAATAAATCACATCGCAGATGAAGAAGAGACTTGAAGCAACAGAAATAGTCCTACAGAAGGATGCTGAGAATACTGAACATGTGAGCAACGAGGTTTTAGAGAAAATGGAAACAAAAAGGACGCCTATACTTAACATCAAAAAGAAATAGTTGAAATTACTAGGAAACGTAACGGGGAAAGAAGGCTTGGAAATTTTATACCCACAAGATATATTGAAGGCAAAGAGAAAGGGATGTGGATACAGCGCATAATCTACCGAATGAGCTTGTGTAAATGGATGACAGAAAAAAGGGTTTAGGAGAGATAATAAAAGACCAAATTTATTACGCGATACAAAGGACAGGAAATTGTGGAGAGCCATGATCGCTAACGTCCTGAAGGGCCACAGTACATAGTAGAAGCGCTTGCTTCTGTTTCCAAACTAGCGGAGACATATAGTAACGTAAATTATGACTTGTTTAGTGATGTATTTTTTATTAATATAGTTGAAATTACTAGGGTACATAATGAGGAAAAGGGGTTTGGAGAATCTGACACTCACAGGACATATTTAAGACAAGAGGGAGGCAGAGAATAATCTACCTAACGGTCTTGTGTCAATGGTTGGCAGAACAGGGATTAGGATAAGTGGGAAAGAGACATTGCTCGGGAATTCAAAATGTGGAAAACCATGATACGTCCATGTCCTGAAGTGACACGGCAGATAGAAGTTGGGGTGTCATTTAACTTAGCCTATACTATAGAGTATCCAGTCGTAACCTAAATGGTGTCTTTAGTCATTGATTTCTAATAATAATTCAAACTTGAAAGTGTTAGCCAATAAATATTGAAATCATAATAGTAGGCCCAGAAGTAGATAGGCTTGCCCATTGTCCGGTTCACATTCCTCCCTGGTCTTTTGGACAGGAGTAGAGGTTTATCCCTTGTTTGCTGTTTAGGATTGGGTTTCCGGCTCCTCATAAAATCTTTCAAATCTGTACTCCTTCTCCGTCTGAACTCTGAAATTTTATTAGTTAAATGAAATCTTGACCTTTTTAAGTTTAGAATTAGATGTCTATCTTTCCTTTTATCTTGCCCTTTCTTACGCTGATACAACTTCACACAGCAGCCCTCTACCTTGAGTGGCTCTTGTGTTGGGTAAACATTGGTAAAAAAAAAACAAGCAAATAAAAGACTATTAGCTTGAGAGCTATTCTAACTTGGTGCCCGACATTTATTGAACCGAATTCGTTGAATTCTCTTTCGCACAATTACCATTAAGAAAGGCATGAATCCATCTTTTCTTTCCACCCCACTTAGTATCAAGGCAAATTCCGCTTTCTAGCCGTTGTTGGTAACAAGTCTAGGAAAAGAACTCTGAATCCCCCTAAAATATGAGAGATTTTTATGAATTTCAACTGAAGGTGGCACTGAATGCTGAATATTTCCTTATAAGGAAACTGCTAATATTACCATAAGAGATGAGAACACAGATACTACATTTTGGTATCAGAACGTGGGCCAGAGACTGAGGAAAACCCTAACACGAATAGCACTGAATACTCGGCAAATGAATACCTTAGGAAAAATGTTCTTGTTCGTTTTGGTTTTGTTCTTGTTAGTGTTCTTGTTCGTCGTCTTGTTGTTCGTCGTCTTGTTGTTCGTCGTCTTGTTGTTCGTCGTCTTCGTCGTCTTCGTCGTCTTGTTGTTCGTCGTCTTCGTCGTCTTGTTGTTCGTCGTCGCCGTCGTTCTTCTTCGTCGCCGTCGTTCTTCTTCGTCGCCGTCGTTCTTCGTCGCCGTCGTTCTTCGTCGCCGTCGTTCTTCGTCGTCTTGTTGTTCGCCGTCGTTCTTCGTCGTCTTGTTGTTGTTGTTGTTCGTCGCCGTCGTTCTTCGTCGTCTTGTTGTTGTTGTTGTTCGTCGCCGTAGTTCTTCGTCGTCGTCGTCTTGTTGTTCTTCTTTTACCACCAGGGTGAAGGTTTGCCCAGGTCCTGAAGGACAGAAACGTATCAATATTTGCAAACATTATTAAAATATATTTATGACCCCCACCCCCAAGTCAAGTTACTGTTGTTAAAAGGGGAATAAAAATGTTTTCAAAACCTAATTTCATGTTCGGCTGCAACTCTAGTTTTATGCACACCGGAATAATGATTCCATCATTAATTTTAATTTTCTTTTACTCGCCTTTTTATTAATGGCTTTTAGCATGACACCTTAAAAGTTTAAAACTTAATGGCATGAAAAATAAGTTTTAAAGAGAGAAGATAATACTGCTGCTAAATGTTGAGAATAAATGAGAAAAGAATGCTTGGAGAACGTAACGTCAACAGGACACATCAAAGGTAAAAAAGAAGCACAGAATTGTTATGAACTCTTATGATCTCGACTGAGGTCGATTCGGTAGCTAGCTAGGTAGGACTAAGCTTTAAATACCTACTTTCACAGGCCAGTGAGTTCGTCTCTCTGTCTATTTTGTGAGATTACGTTTTGGGCTAAATTTGATTTTTGTCAAGCAAATAGGCATTTCAAATAAATCGATTAATGATTTATTGACTTTTCTTTTGATTATTTTTTTACCTGTTGCTTCCCTTTTTTTTTCCTGTACAGCTTTAATCTTAAGAAATCGATACTTACACGCTCACCTATTTTTTATTTATTTTTTATTTTATTTTTTTTTTTTTTTTTTTTTTTTTTTTTTTTGCAAATCGGATCTGCACAAGTTCGTTTGTTCTCTTGATGGTTCGCTCTCGAAATAGACGAATATCACATATACACAGGATATCCATTTTAGTTGTTGCCATTGTTGAATGTCCTCAAATCCTATGATTTGTTATTTGATAATTTGTTTGGGATTCTGTAGCGCCAGTTCACGAGGTGCGAAAAAGTGTCCTTATAAAGACTTAAAGGCTTCATTCGCTCAGTCATTTTTAATTATTGATAGTTCATCCTTTTGTCTTGCTTTCCCGTACTAAACTGTTTAAAAGGTCTTTGAGTTTTCTTTCTGGGTCTGTTATCAAGTGTCATCTGTTGGGGAAAATGAAATAAAACTAATAAATAAATGAATTTTCCCATGATGCAAGTTAGAAATAAACCGAAATGGTTTCTGGTCACATCTGCGATTTTATGACCCCATTTCTGGAAAGGACAGAATCTTTCTCTTTCCAACAAGATCTCGTTCGGACGTGTTTTCAGTAGCCCTACTCTTGAAGTAGAGCTTCGGTCTTCACAACTCAGCGCGAGACTGGCTGAAGATCGACAATCTTTACACGTTCTTATACTTTCTTCTGATAAATTATTTCTGAATCAAAACGGATACTCAAGACATTTAACTTTGTTGCAATACAGTCA